TTTTTCCAAATTGTAATACCATGTGTTTTTCTATATGGAATTACGTATGGCATCACCAAGCTAAAAATCTTATGTGATACCATACGTAAAACCATATGTAAAGTCACATGGTTTCCCTGAAATTATTACAGAAGTAATACCACATAAAATTTTGTCACCTTTTTTCAGGTGGGAATAGCTCATATAGCAATAATGAGCTCAAAATTTTATAATGGAATGCTACAAGCATTGGTAATAAATTAGACTTACTCACACAATTATGGCTCAAAAAGAATAATTTAAATTGTAAAATTTTGACACTGTTAGGTACGACAGGCTAACGGACGAGAAAGAAAGCGGGATTGCGTTCTACGTGAGGAAAGGCCTAACATTAAAGACCGTAAACTTGAACGTCATGTACGAAAGTCTAGAAGTCAACTCAATCTTGGTTGGCACCGGTGGAGGAGACCTCGTAATAACGGCTTGTTAAGTAGGTCGTAAAAGAATAACAATAATTTGACCCAATCTGAATTCTCCACACTAACCGAGGAGATTGGCAATGACAACAACTTTCTATTGGTGGGGGGACTTAAATGCGCACCACGCTCTCTAGGGCAGCGATAAATTTTGCCAGAACGGCCATACTGTTTATGATAACTTAGACTTTGACAAGTTTTTTCTCTTGAATAACGGCCAACCCACATATTGTTATTCTCATGACGGGGAGCTAAAATTCTCTAACATTGAATGAAAATAGAGATTCGAATTTTTAAGTTTCCAATACATTCTCAGACACCCTGTATTTAACAGTGACTCAATCATCAACTCTTTTGAACGCGTACAAAAAAACTCTGAAAATCCAATCTGTAGCTCTTACTTCACCAAGTCACTCATTTTTTATTGTTACCATGGCAGCGGCATCATAATGGCCTTGTCATTTAATCTAATACATACCCAAAAAATCAAAGAACCCTGGCGCCGCGGGCCGTTTTCAATAAGCTGCTGATGGAGCGTGGTGCGACTGATATTTTCACTGATGGGACGAGACACACAGGGTGGTTGCAGCGGCGAGCCAGATGTGGGCTTCGCAATTTGGAGTAATATTGAATTTTTTTAAATGTCGCATAAGATCGCATAAGTTAACTGAATATTGATATAATTTGTTTTTAGGAGGATCAACACACCTATCGAAGTACTTGTGATATGGATGAAATTGAAATCCACGGTCAATGAGTATGTTTTTTTACCTCTGTGCAAAATTTCAGCATAGGTTGCTCCAGAAAATTTTTTGTAAAATGCGTTACAAGTGAGCGTCTTATAAGAGCCTCTTATGGAGACGGCACTTTTTTCACCAGAAATCTCATCATAACTCTCAAATCACTTCCTGCATTAACAAAAAACTAGAGACATGTAGTTTAACTATCACTCTTTCAATTAAACATAAGAAATATATAGGTTGCTTCAGAGTTTATTGAGATATTTCCTTCTCAAGTACACTAATAGACACGATTAGAAAAATGGTGGTTAGAATGTCGTCTGCAAAAAACGCGCCAAGCAGAAATGTATTCAAAAATTTATTATGAATGAATTGAATAAATATATTTCTTTACTTCGGAACAAAGTAGTGCAGTTTGATAAAAAAACCATATGATGTAGAATACAAATAGTTGTGCGTAATGCGTAAGCTTTTATTTAAAGTATTTATTAACTTATAATAGACACTTCGTGGACATTGTTTAGCGACTGATATTAACTATCCTTATGTACAATAAAGGTTATATCTACGTTAACATCAACCACCACATGGAGCAGACGAAGCTCTTGTTCTGCTCTGCAGTGGAAGTAATAATATATATGGCTATAGCTATGACTATACGTGTGTATGTTGTTGACTACATATATAGTGTGTTGAGCCTATTTAAACAAGATAATAGGCATCTGTTCATAACAAAACTATGTTACATGATTGCATTATAATATTGAAAAGATATTGAGCCACCAAAAATAAAAAAATTTTGTTAACGCTTAGTCTTTAAAAAGAGAGGTTACGTTGACAAAATTATCGTTTTAACGTGAATTGTAGAAATTTTTTATTTGATGCCTTAAAGATGTTCTAACCTTATAACGTAATCACGTTACATAGTTTTATTATGAATAAAGTGTCTCTTTCCTTGTTTAAAACAAATTATATCAGTATTCATTGAACATCACTTTGAATTAAATCACTCGCCATAAGTGTGGCTTACAGGCTTAAGACTGTAAGGAATCAGATACACGGAACCACGTAAAGCGTAAAGCGTATCGCGTATCGCGTAAAGTTATAGGATCAGGGAAAGTTAGGTAAGGTACGGTTTACGCAAAAAAATTCGTCGTCGTGCACATGGGAGTAAAAAATTCGCGCGTAAGTGTTTTTAAACCAATCAAAGGCAGTATTTCGTTGGCTTTGCACATGCTGTTTCGCTTGCACTAATGCAAAAAATAAAGTTACGCGCGTATTTTTATTCCCATGTGCACGATGACGAATTTTTTCGTGTAAGCGTAAATAAAATACGCAATCTGTGAATACAGTCAGCAGCTAAATTTCAACAATAGCAATTAAAGTGTCAATTGTGTAATGAATTCGATTTTTAACTTGGATAAAAAACCAAATCGTAAGAATTTTGGGCAAATTGTGGAAAGCCTATACGACTAATGTCTATGCAATGACTTAATATCGCAAAGAAAATGTGAGACGTGTTATTGAGCTGTATAAAATGCATTTACGGCTCTCAAATAAAAATAAAAAAACGAGTATGAGGACAATTACAAATACTTAAAAACTTCAGGTTTTACGCCTTTTCGTTACCCCAAACTGGCGTATACCCAACCTTCCTTACTTATACGCAATACGCGATACGCTTTACGCGGTTCCATGTGCCCGCAGCCTAAGACGCCTATGTACAGGCACCCTTAGTTACAGTTGCCGCAGTGTTGCCAACATAGCGTTAAGCGGAATATTTAAAATTGTAAGACTTGTGAAGTTGGCGCCCGAAAATATTGAATATTAATATTTTGCACCCATTCAGAGCTTAAACGATTCCTCCTTACTTGCGGATTTATCCTCCACTTGAATTTTTATTTGCGGATCAATAGTTTGCGAGATATTTGCAAAATAAAAAGTCGAAAATGGGCGCGGCGCTGAAGTATAAAAAACTTTGTTTTAAGTGCTAAATTGGGTTAAAATCCAATTCTACCTGTACGATTCGATTCCTCCTCATTTGCGGATTACGGAGGTATATAAATTAATGTAATTAAATGTCACAAAGTTTGTAAATGATGAATTTAATTATTGAGTGAGAGAATCTAGTAACTTTTGTCTAGTGACTTTTGGTCCAGTGCTCCGTTCCTGTTGTTCGGTACATGTCGCTTACTCCTTACAGCGGGTTCTACAAAATATTTATCGGAATAGAAAACTTTAGTAGGTATTAATCTATTAATTATCAGTTATAAGTTATTCAGCCTTCGGGTCAATACACACACACACATACAATACATACTTCAAGCTCAAGGAAAAATTTATTTGTCAATAGGTACAGATTTTTCATCTTAAGAATCTAATATCTGGAATCTATTGTGGCAAATACTGTGGACTGATATTTATTCATTACGCGCGAAATTTTAATATTTGTTGTTATTCAAGAAACAAATAACAACACAACTAAAAAGTAGCAGTACAGCTATAATCATCCCAAGACAAGCCACAGCTAAGCACACAAGTAATAATTTTGTTTGGACAAGTTTTAGAAAACGGCTCAAGCATTCAAATTTCGCGCGTAAATGATCAATCAGGCAAATTGAAGATCAAGTTACCGACCAGTGGAAACGGATCAAAGTGACACAGGCTGTGTTCGCCTAAGGCTTTGTTTGTTATTAGGTTTGTTAAGGTCACGTGATCATTTATCATAAGTGCGAGGGAGACAGCATGATATCAACGTCTCACTCGCACTAATCATAAATGATCACGTGACCTTAACATACTACAAACGGAGCCTATGCAAACACAGCCCCAGTAATAAATTAACAAGTACTTAATTTTAAAAAATGTTTATTAAATGGGTTTACACTAGATTGCATAGTCATCAAAAAATGTGTATGTGTGTGTGTGTGTGTGTGTATTGACCCGAAGGCTGAATAACTTATAACTGATAATTAATAGATTAATACCTACTAAAGTTTTCTATTCCGATAAATATTTTGTAGAACCCGCTGTAAGGAGTAAGCGACATGTACCGAACAACAGGAACGGAGCACTGGACCAAAAGTCACTAGACAAAAGTTACTAGATTCTCTCACTCAATAATTAAATTCATCATTTACAAACTTTGTGACATTTAATTACATTAATTTATATACCTCCGTAATCCGCAAATGAGGAGGAATCGAATCGTACAGGTAGAATTGGATTTTAACCCAATTTAGCACTTAAAACAAAGTTTTTTATACTTCAGCGCCGCGCCCATTTTCGACTTTTTATTTTGCAAATATCTCGCAAACTATTGGTCCGCAAATAAAAATTCAAGTGGAGGATAAATCCGCAAGTAAGGAGGAATCGTTTAAGCTCTGAATGGGTGCAAAATAATAATATTTAATATTTATGGGCGCCAACTTCACAAGTCTAAAATTGTACGCGATAAGTTTGAATTTCTTAGCTGGAATGAAATTATTTGCACCCTCGCAAGCTTCGCTCGCTCGGTTGCGCTGTACCTAAAATAAACAAATCTATTCACAATAAATAAATATACTGCGTCTATAATTTTGAATTTCCTGCGTTACACTGTGTCGAAAATCTTGTGACACCTGTAGCTAACTTGTCAAAGGGTGTTCTAAACTGCACATCCACCGCCTTGTCTAGTGAGGATAATTGTAGGCTCCACAAAATTTTTCAAAAACGATTAATGGACTTAAGAAGACTTTCGATTCTACTACTAGTATTTTTATCACGGCAGTAGGCAAACACAATTTCGAATTAGAATTAAACTTACACATCCTTGGATTTCAGCAAAAACGACTGCACCAGTTTTATCTATAATTGCATCTACTTCTTCAATAATATCAAAATATGCTTCATTATTAGTATATTTCACTCCCATGCGACGCCATGGAACATTAGATAATTGGCCAATGGGTAGAATTGAACTCACACTGAAATAAAAATTCCATCCGTTATTACAAACTTTTAATAATATAATTTGCAGTATTTCAAGGTGTTAGCTCACTTAGATTTCCCAGTCACTGTATTGGCTATTGTTCTTAATATATTTGGTGGCTTAATTAATTCCTGTAAAATATTGGATTCTGTTGCAAATGGAAAACCATTATCCAGCATTTCATCTAATAGTTCGTAAATAACTACATAATTATCTTTTATCACTGTTTCCGAGCATTCATTGAAATAATCATCAAATGTATTGACAATACAATGTAAAAATTCAATTACGAATAATGGCGGAACTAAAACAAATATGCAATATTCAACAAATACAAAAATTTACATTGAACTGAGGATTTAATTTTATATACCCTCTGTGGAGCAAACTGCTACAAAAAACATGTTGCATCGGTAAATACTTATCAAGTAATGATGAGGAGTTGCAATAACTGGAGGAGTATCTTCAGAAAACAAGACTTTGTGTTGTTGATCAAAAAAATAGTCACATAGTGAACGTGCTACTGCACTTTTCCAGTGCTTTTCCAAAAAAACATCCCTGATGGAAATTAAATATAAGTAAACGTAGAAAATTTATTTTGTTTAATTTAAGGTCCAAAAAACATACCCGGAACTGTTGATGACGTAAATACTGTGAATCATTATTTATGTATAGTATAAATTTTTTGTTAACATGTCGAAAGATATATAACCTCACAACTACATTAATTAAAGGCCTACGCAGTCAAATTGACATAAAGAGCACAGTGCACAGTGCACAAGAATAACAGTGGTTGGTATACCTATATACATAATGCAAAGCGCGTTGTGCTTTACGTTTTTATATATATACATATACCAACCAATGTTATTCTTGTGCACTGTGCACTGTGCACCTTATGTCAATTTGACTGCGTAGGCCTTTAACCACAGGTCACTAGGGCCTTAGCACGCAAATGCGAAAACAGAGGGGAACACAAACATATACACAACACATACATACACAACATCGAACGTGGGTATCTATCTCTTTCGCACATTTTCACCTTTGGCAGAGTGCAAGAGAGACAGATGCCCACGTTCAATGTTGTGTCTCCGTCTACTTGTGCTCCAGCGCCGTACATAAGAACAAGCAGTCTATTTCTTATATGTTTAAAGTTGACGTTCTTGCGCTAAGACCCATAGACATATAAAAAATATAGACTGCTCGTTCTTAAGTACGACGCTGAAGCACAAGTAAGAAGAGACACAACATCGAACGTGAGGATCTGTCAATATGTCTCTCTCGCACACTTTCACCTTTGGCAACGTGCGAGAGAGACAAATATACACGCTCGATGTTGTGTCTCTTTCTACTTGTGCTTCAGCGCCATACTTAAGAACGAGCAGTCTATGTTTCTTATATGTCTATGCTTGGACCCATGGAGAGCTTAGACCACGGTTACTTGGGGCTAGAAATTGCCAGTGGAGCGTCACAACGGAAAGAGAAAAGAGTTCTTCCACCACCATTTTAACGAGTTATGCGTTCCGCTCCCGTTGGAAAAAATGTCCATCGTGCACATGGAGTGTTCCAGGTTCCAGCGCGAAACTTAGCGACTGATTGGCAATATCGATGGCGTTGTAGCATATTCCAATGACGTGGTGATTTCAGGAAAAATGCGAGAAGCCTATGACGCAAATTTACAAAAAGTTTTGCATGAATTACAAGATGCGGATCTAACAGTTAGAGTAAATGCTCATTTGCGCAGACAAGCATCTAATTCCTTGGTTACGAACTAAGCCGCGAGGGCCTTTTTGTATCACAGCATAAAATTGAGCCTATTGTAAAAATGCGAGCACCAACTAACGGTCTAGTATCTTACGAAGTTCTCTGCCATTTTGACGAAAAACTGCCAGTAAAAATTACTTGCGATGCATCACCGCGTGGCCTGGGTATAGTTCTATTCTACGTTTTCCTAAGTGGTGAGCAAAGGCCTATTGCCAGAATTGCCTTTACTTCAAGAGTACTGTCATGGGCCGAAAAAAATTACGCGCAGCTTGATAGAGAGGCTCTAACTTTAGTATTTGGCATAAAGGAATTTCATCAGTATGTGTATCATCGAGAATTCAGGCTGGAAACTAATCACAACCCACTAATATTTATTTTTGGCCCTAAGGAAGGTCTGCCCCAAATGTTTGCGAGCCGGGTCCAGAGGTAGGCTGCTTTCCTTACAGGTTACAATTTCATAATTAAACACATTAACGTCAAGGAAAATGGCCCTGCGGATGTTCACAAAGACGTGACAGCGCGATATATAACTATTAGTTTTTAATGGGACTGCGTGAAACTGTCACGCCTATGTGAATAACCTCTAAATGTAATTCAAGAAGGCATACCCATGTTGAATAGGGAGCAAGTTCGAGAAGAAACAGCGAGAGATTTGACACTAAAGCAAGTAAGAAACTATGTACAATTCGGTTGGCCAGTAAAAGTAAGTGACGAGCTACTTCCTTTTAAAGCAAAAGAGCTCGAGCTTACAGTAGAAAGCGGTTGTCCATTGTGGTGGCATCGCATGATCCCAGCGGCGCTTAGGAAAACAATATTGGGATTCGGCACACGTAAGGATAGTCAAAATAAAGTCGCTGGCTAGGTCGTATGTGTGGTGAGCTTGGGTCGACAGCGACATTGAAAACGCTGCCAAGTCATGCAGGCTCGCAAGCTGTGCTTGCAGAATGGGATCAACTGCAACCCACCGAGAGCGAAACTGCATACGTGGCAATGGCCGGCCAAACCTGCAAGTTCATATTGACTTATTCATGTACGATCGTACACTGCGAACGCAAGCTCTATCATCGTACAAACATGTAGTTGTGAGAATGCGTATGCAATGCAAGCTTCGAAAAATATATATATACCTATACAATGTGCCACTATGTGCGCAGTTACAGTTGAATAAGCGAGACACATCCTTAATCTTGATAAAATATAAAATTTTGTTATGCATCACTGCGTATGCAAACTTTGTTGTAGCTATTTATTTGAATGGTTTTTATTGACAGAAAATAGGATGTACAGCCAATATTGTAGCTATTTTCAATGTCTTACACGTAGCGCTAGCTATTGGCACACGCAAGATTCACATGCGATTAAGTTTTAGAGGTACAGTGTCCCTCTATGTATTTTGGCTGTTCTAATCTTTAGAAACTAGTGAGTGGCAACCTCATGGCAAAAAATTACCAGTCTAGTTTTGGGCAAGTTGTCGCCGACCCGAATTGTCCCCCTAAGCTAATGTGTTAAGTCTATCCTGCTACTGCATAGACCTATTGCGCAGCTGGATAGAGTAAACACCTTGACTTATGGGGACAATTCTATCCTGCACGCTCTATTGGGCTCCATGTGACTGCAGCCTTACGGGGACAATTCTATCTTGCACGCTCTATTTCGCTCCATGTGAATGGAGTCTTAGCTTATGTTCACATGGAGCGCAATAGAGCGAGCAGGATAGGAATTTCTCTATAAGCGGCTGTGTTAAGTGTATTGCGCCGCGCAATAGGGCTATCCTGCAGCGGAATAGACTTAACACAACCGCTTAAGGGGAAATTCCTATTCTGCTCGCTCTATTGCGCTCCATGTGAACATAAGCCCTTAGTATCTGTTAGATTTTAATTGCTAGTTTTCTGATGCCATTCACCGTGATTACCGTGAGTAGAGCATTATCAATGAAAAATGTTTTTTTCCGCCTAAATGTTAATGTGAATGTGTAAATGAGTGAGAATGATACTAGACGTAGAAAGGTGCGTAGAATTTTTAATTCATTTATTATATTATTAATGCCTGATTGTGTTTAAATTTTCCCGTCTTGTCAGTAATATTAGATAAAAAAAGAATGTTACGTTGGGGATAAAGTTTACTAATATATGTCGAAGCAAGTTGACCTACAAGTCTAAAACGCCAGGTCTTTCTATGTAGTATTGGCTATTGTGATCACGTTTTGGAAAGTTACAAGACAATTATTTGTGCAATCATTATTCTTACCCGTTAGTTTTTAAGTCCATTTATTTGCTGTGAAATACTTAACAGGCATAAATATTTAATTTTAACGTGTGGAGCTCTGTTTGTGTACGTGAAGGGAAAACGTCTCAGAATACGTCGTTTACGTAGATTGTTAAAAAATGGTTTAAAAGCATTTATTAGTTTTAAATGGAATGCTACTTAGATGGTAACACCAAAACAGGGAAGTTGAAATAGTTTTTGAATTTAGACATTTCTCCTTAATTAAGAAAAATATATTGTATTAATTACTGAAAAATACTGGAACTCCCAGGTTTATAGTAGTGGTTAATGAAATGAAGAAACGATGATATTTCTTGAAACTGTAAACATAAGTTCCTATGACTAGTTTTTATCAACTTTTAAAGTATCATAAGGCCCAGCAGTGTCAAAGCGAAAATATTGCCTTTGAAAGTTTATAGTTTCGACATGCCCTTCATGGAGAGAAAGTTATTGCAAGTGCAATGTAAATTCTGATTATTCTGGCAAAGAACAATACTTCTACCAAACACTAACACATTAGGCAAAATAATATCATGCATCTACGTATTACTTGAAAATGCTGATTCTCAGCTAAATGGTTTGGTTTTTCTGTCTGTGTGAGCGGTGTGAGGTATATTGCATATGCGGAACTGTAGGTCAACTACTGTTTTAAGTGTTACAATCCTGGTGGTAAAATCTGTCTTCTACTCTGAGAAAAATGGTGTAAAAAAAAGTGTTACAACTATCATAAAAATTACACTATATTTTATAGGAAAACTGAGACATACTCACCATATTATAAAAATTACTATGCTGCATAGTAAAACCAAATTGTATCAAAATTTGATATTCAACATAGTAATGTTTACTTTGCTTAGAAAGAATTTTTATATTTGTAAGAAAGAGAAGAAAATTATATACATACATACAAATTGCCCAAAGAATTTATATGTATTAACCAGAAAATTAATAAACATGTATAAATTTAAATACATATAGATTTTTTTTTTCTTACAGTATATAGAATGACTCTAAAGTTTGCAACGTTGCGTGCAACGAAAATAAAANTATGTACTAATTGATGTTAATCAATTTCTATGCATTATCAGTCGCGTAGCGCCCGTGATAATAAATCTTTTAAAAATTTCCGTGCTTTTTGTTCATTTTTGCGATATCGTATGCGCAATTAACAATTTCGGAAGACGAAAATTGTTAGAACTAATAGCTTTTATATGTTCTAAGTGATATTAATTAATTTCTATGCATTATCAGTGGCGTACAGCCTGTGATAATAATATTTCCCTAAATTTCCGTACTTTTTGGTCATTTTTGCGATATCGTATGCGCAATTAACAATTTCGGAAGACGAAAATTGTTAGAACTTATAACTTTTATATGTTCTAAGTGATATTAATTAATTTCTATGCATTATCAGTGGCGTACAGCCTGTGATAATAATATATCCCTAAATTTCCGTACTTTTTGGTCTTTTTTGCGATGTAGTTAGCTCGATAAAATAACTAATAATGTATAGTTCCCGTCATCAAAAACTTAATATGTTAAATATTTCATTGTGGAACTATCCGTAATAGACAAAAATTTTTTAACATCCTAATTAAATAGGCTAAACGACACCAATGATGGCAGGGTAAACAGAATAAAAGATAAAAACGTACAACAGTTACATCACGTTTCGTCTTTGACAAATTGTTATTTATTGAGTTTATCATTAAAAAAGATCAGAAAATACCTACATTTCAAAGAAATCTAATATCACAAGCTGCACGCCAATAATAATGCATAGACATTAATAGTTATCACTTAGTACAAAAAAAAAGAGTTATAAGTTCTAACAATTTTCGTCTTCCGAAATTGTTAATTGCGCATACTATATAGCAAAATTGACCAAAAAATAATAAAAATTTAATGAAAATTTATTATCACAGGCTGTACGCCACTAATAATGCATAAAAATTGATAAATATCACTTAGTACATATGAAAGTTATAAGTTCTAACAATTTTCGTCTTCCGGGATTGTTAATTGCGCATACTATATCGCAAAAATGACCGAAAAGTACGAAAATTTAGGAAAGATTTATGATCACAGGCTGTACGTCACTGATAATGCATAGAAATCTATTAACAGCACTTAGTACATATAAAACTTATAAGTTCTTACAATTTTTGTCTTCCAGAATTATTAATTACGCGGACAATATAGCAAAATTAACCGAAAAAAAATGAAAATTTAGGGAAAATTTTTTATCACAGGTTGTACGCCACTGATAATGCATGGAAATTAATTAATATCACTTAGTACATTTAAAGTTATAAGTTCTCACGATTTTTGTCTTCCGGGATTNCCGAAAAAAAATGAAAATTTAGGGAAAATTTTTTATCACAGGTTGTACGCCACTGATAATGCATGGAAATTAATTAATATCACTTAGTACATTTAAAGTTATAAGTTCTCACGATTTTTGTCTTCCGGGATTGTTAATTGCGCATACTAAATGGCAAAAAAGACCGAAGAGTACGAAAATTTAGGAAAGATTGATTATCACAGGCTGTACGCCACTGATAATGCATAGAAATTGATTAATATTACTTAGTACGTATTAAAGTTATAAGTTCTAACAATTTTTGTCTTCCTGAATTATTAATTAAAAATGCTATGTAGCAAAAATGACCAGATGACAATGTAATTTAGGGAAAATGTATTATCACAGGCTGTACGCCATTGATAATGCATAGAATTTGAATAATATCACTTAGTACATGTAAAATTTTTTAAGTTCTAATAGTTTTTGTCCTCTGGTATCATTAATTACGCGTACTCTATAGCAAAAATGACCGAATAATAATGGAAATTTAGGAAAAATTTATTATCACGGACTGTACGCCACTAATAATGCATAGAAATTAATTATTATTACTTAGTACATATGAGAGTTATGAGTTCTAATAATTTTCGTCTTCCAAAATTATTAATTACGCATACTATATCGCAAAAATTACCGAATAATAATGGAAATTTAGGAAAAATTTATTATCACGGACTGTACGCCTATTACTTAGTACATAAAAACTTAAAAGTTCTAACAATTTTTGTCTTCCGGAATTATTAATTACGCGTACCATATAGCAAAAATGACCAAAAAATAATAGAAATTTAGGGGAAATTAATTATCATGGACTGTACGCCACTGATAATGCGTATAAATTGATTAACGATACTTTGTACACATAAAACTTATGACTTTTAACAATTTTTGTCTTTCGGAATTAATAATTACGCGTACTATAAAGCAAAATTGACCAAAAAATAATATAAATTTAGAGAAAATATATTATCACAGGCTGTACGCCACTGAGAATGCATAGAAATTAATTAATATCACTTAGTACATATAAAAGTTATAAGTTCTAACAATTTTCGTCTTCCGAAATTGATAATTGCGCATACTACATTGCAAAAATGACCGAAAAGTACGAAAATTCGGGAGAGATTTATTATCACGGGCGCTACGCCACTAATAATGCAAAGAAATTAATCAATATTACTTCGTAATAATAAGAGTTACCAGTTCTAACAATTTTTGTCTTCCGGAATTATTAATTACGCGTACTATATAGCAAAATTGACCGAAAAATAATAGAAATTAAGCGAAAATTTCTTATCACAGGCTGTACGCCACTGATAATGCATAGAAATTGATTAATATCACTTAAAACATATAAAAGTTACAAGTTCTTACAATTTTTGTCATCCGGAATTGTTAATTGCGTATACTGTATGGCAAAAATGACCGAAAAGTAAGAAAATTTGGGAAAGATTAATTATCACAGGCTGTATGCCACCGATAATGCATAGAAAATAACTAATATTACTTCGTAAAAATAAGAGTTATAAGTTTTAACAATTTTTGTCTTCCGGAATTATTAATTATGCGTACTATAAAGCAGAATTGACTAAAAAATAATAGAAATTTAGGGAAAATTTATTATCACAGGCTGTACGCCACTAATAATGCATAAAAATTGATAAATATCACTTAGTACATATGAAAGTTATAAGATCTAACAATTTTCGTCTTCTGGAATGATTAATTACGCGTACTATTTCGCAAAAATGACCGAAAAGTACGAAAATTTGGGAAAGATTTATGATCACAGTCTGAACGCAACTGATAATGCATAGAAATTGATTAATATCACTTAAAACATATAAAAGTTACAAGTTCTTACAATTTTTGTCTTTCGGAATGATTAATTACGCGTACTATACAGCAAAAATGACCGAAAAACAATCGAAATTTAGGGAAAACTAATTATTACAGGCTGTACGCCATTGATAATGCATAGAAATTGAATAATATCACTTGAAACATATTAAAGTTACAAGTTCATACAATTTTTGTCTTTCGGAATTATTAATTACGCGTACTATACTGCAAAAATGACCGAAAAATAATCGAAATTTAGGGAAAACTAATTATTACAGGCTGTACGCCATTGATAATGCATAGAAATTGAATAATATCACTAAGTACATATAAAAGTTATGAGTTTTAACAATTTTTGTCATCCGGATTTGTTAATTGCGTATACTGTATGGCAAAAATGACCGAAAAGTAAGGAAATTTGGGAAAGATCAATTATCACAGGCTGTACGCCACTGATAATGCATAGAAATTGATTAATATCACTCATTACATATAAAAGTTATAAGTTCTAACAATTTTTATTTTCTGGAAGTA